CCTCATTATTTTAAGAAAGTAAAGACAAATTCTGGCTTGGGAATTTAGCTTTGCTATAACCATAGGAAGTGTCTGAAGATCTATTCTTAAAGTTATCAAAGGCTAGGCTCCCAGCCTCGTCAATATGAGACTAAGCAGAGAAGTGAAGGCCATGGATTCCAGCATCTGGCTATCTTCTGAAGTCCTTTGAGTTCCCTCCAAAATTAATTCTTTTTCTGTAGCACATAGATACACACATACACACACACACACAGACACACACCACATTTAAAAAAAAAATCTATGACACAAAAGATAATGCAAAATAATTTTTAGCCAAAGACTGAGTAATAGCAATAAGAAGAAAAGATCGTTAAACTATTTTTGTGTATTTGATTTATTGAGGATGAACTTCATTTTAAATTTTATGTGTTTTAATGTATTTTTTAAAATTATGCATCAGCTAATGAGATTTCTTATCTAAGCTAGTTTCCTGATTTTCCTAATTCTTCATGTGTTTTCCTAATTCTTCATGTAATTGTCCACATATCTCTCATCCCCTAATTTCCAATTAGAAAAGTAAAGGGAAGATGATACAAGTTTTTTCCTCTAGGCTCAAGATTTCTACACCTTATTAAGTTGTCCTTTACCAATAAAAACGTCTCCTTTCTTTTTGTTTCTGAGACCTTTTGGAGATGTCTTTATTAGCATGTTTTCGTCCACTTAAAATTTTTTGTTTATAAATAATCTTTCTCATTATGTTACGAACTCTTTAGGGGTCCCTTGGACTTACTCATTCAGGACTAGAACCAGGCCTCATACCAATAGGCTCAAAAGTATAAAGTAAAAGACTAAAAGTTAAATGAAACCTTTGCTGGTACAGTATTTCATCTTGTCAATATCTTCTTTTTAGCCACAAAGTCCTTAACTCTGTGTTCTGCACCCATTACCAGTATCATTTTTTATCAATGTTCCCTTTACTTATCCCTTTCTCTCTGACTTTTTACCTCTTCACGGAAACTACCTGATGGAAGATTAGCTTTCTCTCTCAGTTTACCTTCCTGAATCTTGTCATTGCTCACCATTAAAGCTGCTTTTACTAAGTACTTGCCATACCTGCAAAATACAGAGTCCCCCCTTACCTGCATTTTTGCTTTCTGGGACTTCTCTTACCTGCAGTCAACTGTGGTCCCAAAATATTAAATGGAAAATTCCAGAAAAAATTCGTAAGTTTTAAATTGTGTGCTGTTTTGACCAGTGTGCTGAAATCTCACAGTATCCTGCTTTGTCCTGCCTGGGCATGAATAGTAATCACTTGGCCCAGCATATCTGCGCTCTTCATGCAGTACAATAAAATATTTTGGGAGAGAGACCACTGTCAAATAACTTTTATTACAATGTATGGTTATAATTGTCATATTTTTTAATAATTGTCATATTTATTTATTAACTATGCTTAATTGATAAGCTTTATCATTGGTATGTATGTATAGGAAAAGATATAGTGTATGTAGGGTTTGGTACTTTCTGTGTTTCAGGCATCCACTCGGGTCTTGGAATGTATACCCTTAGGAGAAGGGGCACTGCTGTGGGAGACAGACACGGCCTCTATTCTTATAAACATGAAATCTCCCCGGCTTACTTGACTCTTTCAGCCAGGCTAGATTTCAGAGGCTACATCATAAACACAGACGCTAAGAGTGAAATCCCATAAATACTTGGGTGTTGCTTGACAATACAGTAGCAGGCTGGGAGGGCTAAGTCTGAAGTATCTTTGATGCTATTCTGAGGTTGTCCTTTATCCTGGTGAGCCAGTGAGGGATAAGCCATGGCTTACTGATCCACAGATTTGGAGCTTCTTGATGAATCAGTTCATTTTTCTAGACAACATAGCCCATCTATAGAGTTCAGCGATCTCACCCTCGCTGGTTTGACTCAGTGGATAGAGTGTCAGCCTGCAGACCGAAGGGTCCTGGATTGGGTTCTGGTCAGGGCATGTACCTCAGTTGCAGCTCTTCCCTGGCCCAGGCCCTCGTCAGGGGGTGTGGAGGAGGCAACCAGTCAATGCGTTTCTCTCACATTGATATTTCTCTCTGTCTTTACCTCTCTCTTCCACTCTTTCTAAAACTTGTGTATGTGCATGAATTATAAGAATAGCTAACTACAGTAATCAAGAAAATGAGATATTCATGAAAGATAGGCATATGGATCAATGAAACAGAATCCAGAAATAGACCTACATACATATGGGCAGAGAGGAAGGAAAAGGGAGAGAGAGCTAGAAACATAGAAACATCAATGATGAGAGAGAATCATTGATTGGCTGTCTCCTGCACACTCCTCAATGGTAATTGAGCCTGCAACCCGGGCATGTGCCCTGACTGGGAACCACTGAGTCACACTGATCAGGCTGGGCAATTGATTGTGTGTATGTATGGTGTGGTGTGTGTGTTGTGTGAACTCTGAATTTATTTCTATTTGAAGATGCTCAAGAGACTTTTAAATAGGCCAAAAGGCCCCACGGCATCTAGGTTTAATTTAAGATCATCCTGAGGTGGTATCCCACGGTTTCTCCTTTTGTGAGGCATCAATTTGATCCTTGTTAATGAAACACCTCGATAATTCTAGTTGGCTCATGGCGATTTCTTGTGATTCCCAGTATCTGTCATAAATGGCCATCAGGTTATGAATGATGAGAAACGTAATACCAGAAATAATCACGACACATCTGCAGATTCTACTTGAATATCCTTTCTGCCTTATTCTTCGCAACCAGGCTCAGTGATGATCAATTTGAGTGGCAGAGATCATGATGAGTGTTTACCTGCGAAGACTGATATTAAGTGCTGCTCTTTCAGAACAGAAACCAGCAAACATCCTTCAAGATGAAACACCTGGGCAATTGATTTTTGACAAAGGTGAAAAGGCAATTTAGTGTAGAGAGGATAATCTTTTATCAAATGGTGATGAGACAAATGGGCATCCATTATCAAGGCAATGAACACAATGAACCTCAACCCATACCTCCCTCTGTGTACAAAAATGAACTTAAGTCAATCAGTCTGCTCAGCACTTCTGTTCAACATTGTACTGGAAGTTTTAACCAGGACTATGAAGCAGTAAAAGAAGTAGAAGGACTGGAAAGGAAGAAGTAAAACTCTTTTCTTTGATGATGACATGATCTGTATATAGAAATCCAAAGACTCCATAAGAAATCAGTTGAGCTAAGAAACAAGGTTATAGCGTACAATATCCAGGTGCAAAAACTAACTATTTCTCTACACTAGCAATGAACAATCTGAAAAGGCAAATGAAGAAGACAGTTCTGTTTATAAGTTGCATAACAAAGAATAAAATAGGAATAAATTTAACCAAAGAAGTGTAAAACTTGTAGCCTGAAACCTACAAAAAAATGTTCCGAGAAATTAAAAAATTCCTAAATAAATGGAAAGACATCCCATGTTCATGGCTTGAAAGACTTGATATTGTTAAGATGGCAATATTCCCTAAACTGATCTACAGATTCATTTCAATCCCTGTCACAACCATGGCTGATGGTTTTTTCAGATGACAGCAAGGTGTAGGTGGAAGCAGCAAGTATTGTTAGGTATAATGGGCCATTGAGGAAAGGCATCAAACCACCAACGGTCTTTGGAAAGAAAGGAATTAAATATACATTTTCTCTGTTTTTGTTTTTGTTTTTCTCTTCATTCTATAGTTTTTCTGAAGAACTATTATTTATTGTTACAGGGATGCTTCCATAGAAAAAGGTGACTAAACGGGTTGTAAGAGCTTTGAAATTGAAAAATGTCATCTTAGCAAGTTCTGAGCATGCTTGGGCAAGGGTTCATGCAGTGTCTATTTTGGAAGTCATCAATTGTTTAGGAACCTAATTCCCAACATGATAGCATTTCAAAGCATTATGGAAATTCAGAATAGCAAATGATCTAACTTTTATAATTCTATCTGCCTGTATCTAAAAGAGGACTTTGATAATGTAAAAGTAATTTCTGCCTTTATATTGTATGCCCTTGTTTCTATGAGCTTTTGTAACTTATTTGAATTTTGCAGTTGTAGGCTGCAAGGAGGTGATAACAAATAATATAGAAACAATAAATGTCCAAATAGGTAGTTCTTCTCCAGAATATAACATGTTCCCTTCTTATAATCTGCTCTCTTTCTTTTCAGTGACTATGTGTGATATCTATCTATGATGAGAAAGCAGTACAATTTGCCATAACACTTCAGATCAACAAAATGTAGCTCAAAATTTGTCATTAGGCCAGGATACCAGGTGAATGGAAAAAAATGAAAGAGATCATGTGTCCTGCCTTGCTTAAGGCTTCATGTACCATAGTATTAGAATAATAGATGCTATAGGTAATATTTTGAGTCCACTGGTTAAAAAACAAACAGGAAAAAAATCCTAAACCCATATTTGTAAGATTGTAATAAACTTCATTTAAACTTCAGAGATTTTTGTTTCATCTGCTTTCATTTGTTTCATTTCATTATTATATATTTTTTAAAAAATCACATCTCATACCTTAAAAATTACTCTATTTCTTTATAGCACCATAACATCATGATTAAATTTCATACTGGTTATTGGTATAACCATTTAACATCTATCTAGTTCGGTATCCTCTATTCCTCCATCCCCGAAGACTAAAGTCTCTATTTCTAAGCAAGTCACACTTGGTGTAATCAGTGTTCTTTGTTTTCCCCCACCTCCCATCTTTATAATCATGATTCTTTTAGAATGAATTCTGCCTTTAATGTCTTTCTTAAGTGATGAGTGGAGTTAGTGTAAACCCTATGAGAAAAGAAAACTTACTTTGGTGATGTTTTTCTTTATTTTTATTTTTTTATAGGGAAACTAAACAGCCAAGACTCCTACAATAATTTTGCCAACAACAACCCCGGCAACCCTCGGCTCTCTCCTCTCCCCAGCTTGATGGTCTTGACGCCTCTTGCACAAATCAAACAGCCAATGACATTGGGGACCATCACCAAACGAACAGGGTAAGGCCTCAGGCTTGACACTTTTTTAATAGCTGTGTTAGAAGATTGAATGCATAAAAGAAAACATACTTTTTGTTTGGGTGGTTTTGATTATGTTCTTCATTTCCAGTCCATATGATACGTAATGGCAGCAGGTTAAGTACAAAGCATAGAACAGGCACAAACTTATTTGCACACAACCCTGTACACACACATTCAGAGAAAAAACAAAGCAGTGACAAGTTGTGGAAATGAGTGTTCGCTAATAAAAACCAGATCTAGCTACTTAGTCTTCTACTTGCTGTCTTGTGGCTTTGTCTGAAAGTACAGTTTCATTTTCTTGCTTTTGTGGACATGATCTGGATTTATAATGACTTCCAAATTTTGACAGACACACCTACCTACTAAGATGAGAACTTTAGATGACAACCATGTTTTAAATACTTAAAAAAACACATCTATATTGAGGTATAATTTACATATAATAATCTGTCATCAGTGCTAGGACAGTGTGGAGCAAAGGGTAGTTTTCAAAAGCCAGAGTCCTAAGATTTGGGTTTTACTCAAGATTGGTTGTTAACATCCTCAAAGACTTGATGATTCACTTCAGTTCATACCTTTGTGCATATTTTAGCTATAAAATTCCTACCTGCTAGAAATCATCACTTTTCGTTCCTGAAAATAAAATGCTGTATCTATCATTAGGTATTCAGTTGTGTAATAACTTTGAAATTCATTTGTACCAGAAAGTATATATTTCTATATGCAACTTACCTATTTTCATCAATAAGCAGTTTTGGGCTTTAACCTAATTTGGAACAACTGCCTAAAAATTCTATATTCAGCTCATCAGGAGAAAACCCTCTCTTGTGTTCAAATATTCTTCAGGGCCTTTCCAACAAAAGGATTAGATTAATTATTTGGCTGTCTTAATACTGTTTGCTAGGTGGTAAAGTGTTTGCAGAGGTTATTTCTGTGAGAAGAATTCCTCATTCTCAGGGACCAGGCCTTTGAGCTCCAGATTTTACCATAGCACTGAAATTGACCCTATCCCTAGTTTGTTGCATATGAAGGGGGGAAAAAAAGAAAAAATACAGCAAACATAGGTCCAAAATCAGCATTGTACAAATTCTACTTAGGAGTTTTTGACTGTCTTTCCTGTTCAAAATTGTTGTTCTTGAAGTTGATTTTAGTTTTTTTCTAGTGTTTATGTTTGTTATTTTAAAAACTTAATAGGTATGCTATTTTATAATGCAAAGAGTTAGCTCTCTTTCAAATAAGCTTCTTTCTCTATAGTGACTGTAGTTCTATGTATGAAATCATATGATGTTAGAATTTAATTCAAAACAGTTGTTGGAGGGGTAGAAAGTGAGCTTACTTTTGTATATATTTATAATTTTCCATAAAACAGATAAAATCTCTCACTCTTTTTCACTCTCTCTGTCCTTAATCAGGGAGAAACTATGTGTTATCTAGTCTTTTCCTATGCAACCATACTTTATGACCTTAGATTAATTTTAAATGTTTTATTTTAAATGTTTTTATTTTTCAATTACAGTTGATATTCAGTATTATATTACTTTTAAGTGTATAGCATAGTAGTTATGCGTTTATATAACTTATGAAATAATCACCCAGATAAGTCTAGTATCATTTTCTTTTTAAAAACTTGGTTAAAAATCCTACATTTTTAGAGCATGTATATTAGACTCTCTTTTATTATAGTTAATTTAATAATTATTTATTAATGAATTAAATATACATGTATCATTATTATTTACTAGACCTTTTATCTCAATTATGAAACCTTCTGTTTCTGCCAAGTATTTGAATTATTTTTAGCATGTCCTATATGAAAACATTTAGAGAGAGTAATTAATATTTCTTTTACAATGAGTACTTAGTTTAAAATTTTTACTTTTACTATAATTCACCTGAACATTTGGTCAGAAACTTTTAGAAAATAATTTGTGGTTTTATCACTTAAACATTTAGCGTTTACATGGAAATAGATATACTTGCCTTACTAAAAGTTATATTTGTTTTCAAGAACAGAATATGTTTCCTGAATTTTCATTTTTGACATATGTAGAGATTTGAAACAAATCCCAGGTATTTTATATTATTATATTTCATCTCATTAGATTTGAAAGGCTCTATTTTATTTTAGTTTTATTCAAATTTTTTTTTACTATGACCAGTTCTCAATACTGCACTTAGCTAATTTGCGTTATTTCCAATTCAGTTTTGTTATAGTTACTGAGAATTTTGATTGCCACATTAGGGTCAGCAGAGTGATGAGCAAATGGGCTTTTCATTTTCCAGGTCTCTTTTCATTCTGGAAATTCTAATTTACTCCTTTTTTAAAAAAAAAAAAGAATATGTTTTTATTGATTTCAGAAATGGGGGGAAGGGAGAGAGAGATATTGATGGAGAGAGGGAGAGAGAGAAAGAGAAACATCAGTGATGAGAGAGAATCATTGATCTGCTGCCTCCTGCACACCCCACACTGGGGATGGAGCCCACAACCCTGGCATGTGCCCTGAACGGGAATTGAACCATGACCTTCTGGCCAATGGTCAACCACTGCGCCATGCCAGCTGGCTAATTCACTCTTTTTTTTTTTTAAATGCTCTTATTGATATTTTAGAGAGAGGGGAATTGAGAGGGAGAGAGATAGAATCATCAATTGACTGCCTCCTGCATGCCCCAAACTAGGGGTTGAGCTAGCAACCTGGGCATGTACTCTTACCAGGAATGGAATGGATGAACAGCAACCTCTTGGTGCATGGGACTATACTCAACCAACTAAGCCACACTGGCCTGGTTAATTTCCTCTTACCTATGCTTCTATGAAATGGCTTTCCTAGCATTTGAAAAATAAAATAAATAAGAAGTATTTGACTTGGATAATGTAGAAAGAGAACACAGTGCTTTTCATTTATAGACATGTGAGTTCTATGACTACTTCTAATATACCTGATAATTTATCTAGTAAAATTATACTTCCTTAGGTTAGATCAACATTTATTTGTTCCATGTCAATAGAACAAATTGTTCCATGTCATAGACATGGAGCAAATAAACAGTTATATTTTTAGCACAAAGATTTCTATGCATTGCCTAGGATCCTATATTTAAATAACCAAATTGAGATGGCAGCCTCAATTCAAACCTTCAGGGGATCAACCGTGTACTTACCACGTTTCACATCTGCTCTCTTATTTTTGGAAATATATATCCCTGAAAGCTTGTGCAGTGTCAGGGACCATCTGTCTTTCTCCAAGACATGCATTAGGCCAGTAGAACTAAAATGGCAAGAGACAGATGTACTTACACCTTCATGTTCTGTACCTTGAAGCGGCATTTGGAGGAAATGAGGCCTATTTTGGCAACAGCTGCTGCTTCACCCCACTACAGTGTACACCGATGAAGGCAAAGGAAGTGCTAGAAATCATTTGGTTCAACAATCACTCAAGTCAAACAATCCATTTCATCAGTCTCAGATTGAAGGCCTCCGTAACGTTTTTATCACTTGTAAATAGGAATAGTTCTCCACATCTATTAAAAGTGAAACCAGGTGCTAACGGATTGCTCCTTGTTTGGAAGCATTAAGTTTTTATAGTAGGGATTTACTAAGCAGCGTTTTGTAGATATTTGGTTGAGTTAATGAATCATGTAAGTGGTAAAAATTTTTTAATGCTTCCTATCTGTGTAAAAGTTTACTAAATCATTTTTAGTATGCTTAATTTTATGTGCATTAAATCTAAAATTATTAATATATACACATCACTTTATGGGCACAAGCAGAGAAGAGTTAATTTCAAAAAGAGGTCAGAGTAATTTCATGGGAATAAGAAATATAGAAATGAACTTGGGACTGAACTTACTTCCTTGCTCTTAACTAGCTGACCAATTTTAGTGAAGTAAATATGAGATAATTTGGTTTCCTTTTCCTTAAATGGAGCAGCTCCCGGCTCTTTTCTGTTGGGGTCCAGCCCCAGCGGGTCTAGGGGTTCCCAAAGGTGTGGATGGAGTCGGCTAAGAATGAATGACATGGAGACAGCATTCAGTTGATCAGCATAGCCAGGTTCTCTAGCCAGGTTTGGTATTTATTGTCCTGTGTTTATACCAGTTGATTTTAATCCTATCCATTCTATTCCAAAGGTTAGGGCGCTTGTTAATCTAGTTCTGTTCAGTTTAATCCTGTCTAGGTTAATCTCTGTGTTCCATTATAAAGGCTATTCCAAGGTCACTGCTCTGCTGATAAGCTACAAGGAAGTAACTGAAGGAGATTATCCTACCCAGTAAAGGTTATGTCCTCCCAGCCTCGCTGCTTGCCTTCCCTGGGACTGCCCTGTTTCAATGGGTCTCCAGGGGTATAGGCTTTGGTGCTTTCCCTGGTGGGCAGACCCCTGGGGATGTGGGCCCAACAAGTCCCAAATTTATTGCCAACAGTCTTAGTCCTTTCTTGAAGAGGTGGCCTTGGTTAAAACACATAGCACTAAGAAGGGGAGCAAACATATTAAGAACAGTATGCCATATACGCTAGGTTCCTTGAAACATGCTGTGCAGATGTTTCTTCCCTGCAGTGACTGTGTCAAGCAGCAAGGATATACCGACTTCTGGCACTTTTCCCCTCCCCTATTCACTTTTTTTGTGAGCAGTTTGAGGTAGGTATTAGGAACCTTGGGCCTGACGGTGGGGTAATGTTGTGGAAAAAAATGGACTGAGGAGTCTGCAGCCCTGGCTTTTCCTCTCAGTTCTGCCACCTGTTAACTGTGTGTCTTAGGCCAGTTTCTTCATCTGCACAATAAAAATTGAGGTATAGATGGCAATCTTTCAGCCTCTCAGTGTATGAGTTCCCATCACGCCTTTGATGCCATTACCTGATTTCCAGACTCACTCATTGTTGAGCCCTAGGCCAGTGCTGAGCAATTTCCATCTAGGAAATGTAGATGATTGTGCTTATTTAGAAATGGCAGCATTTAATAGCGTGTATTTGATTATCTCTAGTTGAA